GCTGCAAGTCATTACAATATACATATTTTGTTACAATATAATTTGAAATCGTGTGATAAAAAATATCGAAATACGTCATTTAAAGGGATATAACAATTAAATATGAAATTCACGTTAGTAAAATATTACCACAAATATATAATTCGCTGCAGGTATTTTTTCTTTAAATAACGGCCTTAAATGACGAACATTTTACGCGAATTTATTTTCAACAATTGGACAGCAGAGTTATTTACTTATTTGTCAGAAGCCAAAAGGGAGAAAGATAACGAGAAGTTAGAAGAGAATATGAATGAACCCAATTTTTAATGACATTCTTACAAATATTCATATATTTTTAAAAATAACACGAATACATCTTTCATCCATTTATATCTCAAATTAATAGTTGTATGTGATTTAATAGTGTTTTTTATTTTTTTATTTTATTATAAATTCCGTATATATCACCATTATTTGTTGCTGTATTATTTATAAAGATAGTATCACATGGGTTTTACTTTTTAATTTAATAAAATTTAAATAATAGTACTACATGGGTTTTTAAAGATTAAAGGTACCACTTGTGTTGTAAGTAATAAGGTAGAATTTAACTTGGCGCCGAGACTATTGATATCAAATCTTATACAAATGATACATATCCTTAGATTTAAGTAATAAGGCTAATATTCTATTAAATAACAAATGTAATTAGTCAGTTCCACAGCCAATTAAGTATATTAACATTGGTAAAACTGGCCCAAATGTTTTTTTTATCAGTAGAATTTTTACTAAACAGGAAATGCAATTAGTCAACTCCACAGCCGATTAATTAATTGGCGTTGTTCTACTAAATAGCAAATGTGATTAGTCAGTTCCACAGCCGATTAAATAATTAGGACTGGTGAAACTAGCCCAAATAGTTTTTTTTACCAGAAATACGCACCCTTAGCGCTTTTTTTACCTTTTTTTAAAAAGATATAATATTTACTAGAAATTCTTTAATCAGAGTGACTCCGTAAGAAGAGTAGCGACATCTTTTAGCGAAATTCTGCAAGTGAAGAATAATATATATACTTTCTTTAGTTATCGAGCAATATCGATGTTATTGATAAAAAACATTTTATAAGTAAAAAAATCTAAAAAATTTTATATATATACATATATTAATTTGTAAATATTTAATATAGATGTGTATGATTATATAATGTAAAAGAAAAAGAATAGAAAATTTTGCTTATCTTATATACGAAAATTAATTTGCAAAATTACAAATAATAAGGATATTATAAAAATTGCTATATTATCTAATAAAAATACTTTCTAGTTTTTGTATTTATGTTTTAAAAGTTTTGTTTAGAAAATATTATTCAAAAAACAAAGTAATATGTCGATATTAGTGATTTTCGTCTAATAAGAAAATCTGATAAAGATGTTAATTTGATACAAATATTCACTAATTCTGTATTACTGTGCAAAAAAAATTTGTTTTTTCACTCGTAATAATTTACATGTTACGAATTGTATGGAAATGTTCATTATTCGCAAACGATGCGTGACACAGTAACAACGTGCGTCGAATAATCCGGCGTTAAACGTAAAATCAAATATTTGTCACGCGAAAATTTCATGCTCAGCATCGTCCAATTATCAGAAGTTGCTGTTCCCATACAGCGTAAATCAATCTAGTAATATTACAACATTGTAACGTTCCAGCAATATTGCTCGAATGTGAATCTAATTTATTTGTAATATATGTATATGGTACATTCAAAAAGTTCCATGTCTGAATTTATTCGGGACGCACTAATAGCGTCATTTAATTTCAATGCTGCAATGGTGGGACTAGTTAGTATAATGAAATTTCGTCTCCCACAATATACATTGTTTATTTTTTAATTAATTTCATCAAAAAATTTTAATTAGTAGAGAGTAGCTATTATTTTTGGCGTACGCAGCATCCCTGTTGCAATGTATGTTACAATGTTCGCTTTTAATCGATTTTTTACACGATATTTCTAGCTGCAGGCTTCGTCATCTACTTTATAACATTTTAAATTATCTGCAAATCCTGTAAATCTCTATAATTTATTAATATGCCTATAAAATGGAATTGTTGAACGTTTCTTCTGAAATTTCAAGCATTGATTACATCTTTAAACATAAAATTTTGAATAATATACATGAATATTCTTAACTATTCTCAACATCTATTCAAAATATACAAATAATTTACATTATATTACAATCGATATATTTTTTATTATTTTATTACTATCTGAGTGATAGGCGATCAAGTGTTCTCAATGGTTTGAATTTCGTTTTCCAATTTCTCGTGTCGCGAAAATAGTTTATCAATATCGTGCACTGCGTGTAGTTTGTAGTTTATATTAACTGTTGTTCGCACGCATATTCCGAATACGCAAATACCGTCAACTATAAATCGCGCGTTGCGTGCAGATGAAGAAAATATTTATGCGATCTATTAAAACAAATACAAACCGATATGCATCGAGCACTGCCGCGGTGCTATGCGAATAGCGAGCAAATAAATTCTCATACTGTCGAAAAACAAAAAGGTCAAACCTGGTCTTCGAAGCGCATTCGATTGTGTTGCCTGTGTACTATACGTACATATGTATTATATAGCGACGTGGACTCTTGCCTATTGTGTGAAGCTGGTTTATGCAATAATTATATTAATCCTTTTTGCCTCATATATGTATATATTTATTTTTGATCTGATTTAACCGTGTAATAGATCTTAACGGATTAATTCGCTTTATAGGTCATTGATGCTCATAATCAGTGATACATCAATCTCTCGAAATAGATTATATCGTATAACACGTCTACTGCATTAGAGATTAGATAATAATTCTAATCGCAAAATTAAGATCAAAGAATACTAAACTAATTGACAGTAGTATTATATATCCGCTGAATAAAAAATTGTAAATAAAAAATAGAACACTTTTATATTCATCGTATATTCTTACATACATATGTTATTTGTCCTTATTATGTTTCTTTTGAGATTCGTAAATAAACTACTTACAATTAAAAAACTCTCTCTGATTTACATATTTTACGGTTTTATTTTTCCAAATAAAATACGTTTATACAAATATATAAGTTTGAAAACGGCCGTCTCTTGTATAAAGATGGAGTCAAGTTTGCGAAACTTTATATTATTTTAGTGACTTTACTATAATTCTTATAAATTTAATAGAATTAGGTTGAAATTGCAGAAAAATCGGAAATCTGAGAGTGGACATTTCAACCTTTTTCGTGTACAAAATTTCATAGGGTAATGTCTACGTCTTTGTGGTTTTTTTCATGATATTACACGGATTAGATTAATCAAAAATAATAATTGTTCGTTCTTGTCTAACTCACATAGGTATGGAAAAGAAACAAAAAAATTTGGACACTACCCTAAAAAGTTTAATATACGAAAAAAGCCGAGACGTCCACACTCAGGTTTCTCCTCTAATAGCATACAACACGTGCCCATCTATGATTACGTATAAAATACGTAGTTCTAGTTAGTACTGGCAGAGTTCTATGCTCTGCAATCATTTTAAAACAGAGTTCTGCTACAAATTTTTAGTCAATTTTTTAATCTCCATGCGTCCAGCACGACACTTGGAGAAAAAGTGACGTGATGGACACGGAGATTAAAAAATTGATTAAAAATATGTAGCGGCCGGAACTTTGCTTAAAAATGATTGCAGAGCATAGAACTCTGCCAGTACTAACTAGAACTGGCATTAAAACTGGTATAAATAACCAGCATGATACTTTCTCTCCAAGTGTCGTGTTGTACTTATATTTAATTTTATAATTATTAGTAATTGTTGAAATTTTGTTTTTATATTATATATTTTAGTAGAACTCGAGTAGTACTAATTGGAACTGTTGCCAAAATTGATAATATTTGTCGTTTTTTGGTACTTTAGACGAGAAAATGTCATGCTAGATTCTCGAAGTTAGTACGACATTTTCATTTTTAATTTTTTAGTATTACAAAATGCGGAACTATTGTTTATTTTTATAAGGAACTGTAGAACTGTGAAAAGTGCTACTGGAACTGTTGTAATATTTTTGATATCGACAGAATGTCGTGGTAGCTTCAGATCCGTTTCCCTTGTTTACATTCGTTAAACAAGGATAATGCATTATGTATGAAATAAAATACACCTATTTTAACGGGATAATATAATTTAATCAATAAAATATTCTAGAAGGTATTATAGGATATATAAAAATTTCACAGAAATTTTGGTTTATTTTTAGAAAATAACGTTATAATTTTCTTTCTATCAAAATATTTGATTTACAGCTAAAAGTATAGATTAAGTAAAAATATAGTTGTGTTATAATATGTGTATTTCTCAATTTTTCTTTTAACTTCTAATTTTTATATTGTAATTTAGATAGTCCTATACAATCCTATATAATCTTTTAGTTTTTTACGAAGTATAAAAAAATTCCTAAAATATTTTAGTCAACTGCTGTAGCGATCCTGAAGTGATCTTTGACAATTAAGAAATATATAACAGTACCATTACTTCAGGAATTATTTTGCACTTCTGTCTTCTATGTGATACATATAATCGGACATATATATATATATCTCTCAGTTTGCTGCATATTTTACAGTATTAGAATTACGAAATTGTGTTAAAAAAAAAAAACAAAAATAAAACTATATATGTCAGTGTTATACATGCTATATCTATATATATTGCTTTTATTAACGTTTAAACAAAAAATACTGCAAAAGTACATTTTCAGACTGATTTTTAAAAAGTAACGGAAAAATAACGAAAAGTTACCTTTCGAGTAACTGTAACAAGTTACTTTTAAAAAGCGGTAACTCGTTACTTTTTTTACTCGGTAACGTAACTGTAACTTGTTACTTTTAAAAAGTAATTTTTTATTCCTCCTGGTATATACATGTAATTATTTATAATTATACACACAATCATATGAATATACATATAAGTTTCACACTGCTATAACTTTTTATCAAGTATCGTATTGATAACATGACAAGCATATAGTTTGATCATCAGATGATTAAGTAGCATCATCATAGGAAACTTGTTGCATTCTAGAAAGAAAATGTATTGTCAAAGATCTACTAAAAATAAGATAATAGGTGCATTTTTTATACGAATAACAATATTCTTTGTTTAAGATTGAAATGGTTTTTCGTCGACAAAAATTTAATCTCGTAACTATGAAGTTATAGATATTGAAAAAAGATTGATTTTTATCCAAAAATATAGCTAAAAAAAATAGGTTCTTTAATAGAATTTTGAATACGATAGTTATTAAAAAGTTCGTGGCGTTTGGAAAACATCTCAAAAATTGAGCAAGAATATTGAAATTTGAACAAATATACCATGTTTGAGCTTTATTTTTAAAGAATTTCCCAATTGCTAAGAAATTCCCAAATGCTAAGAATTTATTAATAATTATGTATACACATCAAAATCTATTTAAAAAAAACACTTCCTTTTACTTACATCTTTTTAAATAAAAATCACTCTCTCTTTAATGCCTTCCTTTATTATATACACATGTATATCAATCTCTTAAAAAGAATTGTGTATATATTAAGTGTAGACAAAGAAAAAAATTACTTTAATTTTTAATAAGAAATATTGTTTTGTGTTCATCAAAATATACCTATTACCAGATTCTTTGTATACAACTTAGTGAGGATGTAATTGCACAAAATATGTTATTAAAATGAAAAAAAATCAAAATTTCCTTTTTCTTATGTATGTATTCATGAATCTTACCATATAAAACTGTTATAGGTATTATTGACAAAACTGCCATATCTTGTTCACGTGCGTTATGAGATGTGATCAAAATTTCATCTAAATATTCCAGTACTTTCTCATTGCGCCGATAATTCTCCAATTTAAGACGATAGCCTTCATTATCATGAATCTCAACAATAATTTTATTAAAGGAATTTCCTAAAAGATATAGAAGGCCAATATTGAACTGCGTTAATAAAGAGTAACCAATTAAAATGAGTGTTTGCTCGGATTCGAGCTTCTTTAATCGATCATAAATTTCGGTAATTATCCGATAACTATCGTAATTTTGTACGAATTGGAAGCTTAATATCTCATAGCTTTGATCGATATGTTGTACGAATTCTCTCATAATTTCTGCTGGTGGAAAGCAGACGGTGTTGTGCATATCTTGCATTGCGTTATCAATTTTATCCAATATTTGCAGAATTTTCAAGTCGCAAAAGCGTGAACTGCATATTTTGTTAAACAACTTTCCCGTTTGTATCTCTAAAGATTCTGGTAATGTCTGTAGATTCCACTATAAAAGTAAAATAACCACGTTGTAAATGATGTATATTTATGATTTTTTCTCAGATGTACATACAATAAAAAAAATATTTTTTAAACTACAGTAATATATAAGTTTCTATGAATAAATTACTTCGTAAGCATTACTATAGATTAAAATAAATATAAGTATGATAATAGGGGACTCCTGAGATTAAAACTAAAATTAATTAAATAAACAGGAAAGTGAGAGTAAACTACACGGTTAAAGATAAGCTAAAATTAATCTATATATTCTATAGTTTCATGTATGGTATGTACAATATTATTCCATTTTCATTCGTTTCAACAGACTTTCAATCATCTTCAGAGAATTATGTAACATACGTATATATAACATGTGTAAGTACGATCTCGTTACCATAGTCCAAATGATACAGTAAACGCAAATGCAATCTAAGAGGAAATTGTCGAATTTTAATAAATAGTGTTGTCAATTTTTTAAAATTGTTATTACAAGTGACTCATCGGATCGAATAGTGATATGTATTATTACTATGTAATAAGGATTACTTCGATGATCGAATAACGTCATGTACATATACATGTTACATAATTCGTTAAAGATGACAGAAAGTCAGTCAAAACGTCCGAAAATGGAATAATATTGTATATACATGAAATTATATAATATCAGGAGACGCGGTAGTGTCTCCGGCCATGTTCAAATATAGATTATTTTAGCGCTCCTTTAATCGCAGTTTACTCTTACTTGCCTGTTTATTTAATTATAATTTTAATTATATAAATTAAAATATTTTATTAATTTTCTTTTTAACTTTAATTTGTCAATTTGGAATGCGACAGAATTTTACGAAAATCGACATTTCTTAAATTGTGAAAGTTACATGATATATGTAGGTTTTTTTTTTATATCTTAAAGACATTTTAGAAACACAATTGAAAAATTTGCTTACAATATAAAATTTTTTTGACGGCCATTCAATCTCTTTTGCATTATTCCATACTTGTTACAAACGCTCTTCCGGTTCCAAGTCTTGACTTTTGCAACGCTCATTGTACGAATCGACGTGGAATTTTTTATTCATAAATTGATTGTTGGTTTTTTCAATTATCTCCCGGCCGACTATTTCGTCCGCAGAATCTATTTTTTTTAATCTGTAGTTTTTGAGATATTTGATACTGATCATTCGTTTGATAAATGATGTAGAAAAATTATTTCTCGTGTGAAACGTTCTTATGTTATCCTCTATGACCCGGCACTGATGAAACTTGAAAAATTTGCTGCACTGTTCAATCCTCCGTAAAAAGCCATCTGGAATATCCCGCAGGTTAAACATTGCATTCACAGGTGGCACCTTGCCGTAATAATACTTAAGTGTACATAAATACGGTGCTATGTAATCTCTGCCCTTGAAATTCATACAAACAATATACATTTCCGAGTTTCCTCCTTTGCTGGTCGCTGGTTTCGTTACGCTGACCTGTTGGAAGGCACAAGACAGCAGATACATCAAGCACACGGAGCTGTGCTCGAACAGAGTAAAGAGCTTCAGCAAGAAATTACCACCTTTTTGCAGGAGATGCAAGCAGGCCACTGTCTCGCACAAGTGCAATTGTGCTACAGTGCTCTCCTGCTCTCCAGGCAAATTCATGCAGTCTATACTACCATCCGCGGTGACCAGTAGAATCCGTCCTTCACTATCCAGGGACTCAGATTTCTTCACCAGAGTATCTACATTTTTCAGATCCATAATATTTCCCGTGTTATCGGCGCCAAAGCACCAATGTTTCAGAGTGTGTCTGATAAATCTATCGTCTGCGATCATACTATCGTACGAATTTCCTTCACAGTAAGGATTTAAAGTGGTGGCTAGCCAATTCCACTGAACATCAGGTGCATTTGTCTTCAGCCAGTGGTTCAGAGCAGTCACAAATGCACCTGGCGCTTCGCAAAGATGCACGGACTTGAAACTTTTACTGTCTACTTCACGGTAAATTTCATTCAATGGCACCAGAGAAAAATTGCTAGCAATTTCATAGAACTTGCACCAGGCTTGAGTCACAAGTTCTGCTTGTATATTTTCTCTTACCATGGATACAACTTCACCTGCTTCATTCATTCGATTTGTGTGCTGCTGCCATTTGCTGAGATTAAAATTGTTCAGGCGACCCTTCACTTCATTCAGATCTCTTTTTATTTTCTGCAATGTGTTCAGCTGCCATGGTGGTTCTGTAAACATAGACTCTACCTGAGGTAATACATATGTTTGTCTATCTTGTTGCACATTTGAGATGATAAAATGTTTTTCGAACAGTATTTGCATGTTAGATGATATATCGATCTTCTCATCATACTTATCTCGCGATGTCTGTGAATGCTTTGAAGAAAAATTTTTTTCTTTTTTCTCCATCTTTGTATAAATAAACTAATTTAAAACAGCAATGTAACTGCAAATCACTTTTACTTTCTTAATCTTCTTATTAGTTATTCCTCGTCTTTATCTTACATAATACCTGGAAGTTGCAGTTCTACATTAAAATTCTTGCTGGAAAGGATTATTAAAGAGCATATTTTCTTAAAACATTTCATAATCTATAAACTGATTCCCATAAAAATAGTTTGCAAATAAAATTACATAAAATTTATATAACAGAATGGCTTACTAATAAAATATTGGGTAATTATATAAAATATCTCTACCACCTCTGATTGTGATAAAATTAGGCTCATTCGACGCGTTTTCACTCAAAACGAAAATATCTGACAAAAAAACGTAGCAGTTGACGACTATTCAGATTAGGAAATTTATCATTCCGAGATGAGCACTATATGTACGTACTTTACTTTCACTGCTAATGCAAAGAATTTGTGTATTTAAAGCAGTGAATTTGTGTTCTTGAAGCAGTACTTTTGTGGTTTTAAAATATTGATTTGTTGTCATTTTGAAGCAGTACTTTTGTATTTTTAAAGCAGTGAATTTGCGTACATGATCACAGCTCATTACGCATGCTTGTGTGAAAAAAAAGCGTAAGCATCTATTTAATGAAACAAATATTTACATATTGCGATCATATCGTACATACATGATATATCAATGCGTACACATAGCATTCATATTGAGTCGGAAGACATATTTCCTAACCTGAATAGTAGCCTTTAACGCTTAATAACTCGATTCACAAGATGGATTGCCGCGTTCTTCCGCCAGATTCTTTCGTTTTGAATGAAAACGCGTCGAATGAGCCTAATTTTATCACAATCGGAGATGGTGGGAATATTCTGTCTAACAATCAAATATTGTAAATTGTAAGGTTATAACCTAAATTCCTGCCGTCGAGCCATAACTTCGCGGCGAGTAGCAGCGACCGGCGAGACGATTACTTCGACTCGAGACGTCGGACTTCGGTAGACTTCGGCAATCTGAATTAAGTCCAAGCCACAGCAAGGGAATAAAGATAGAGATTTGAAGCGCCTCTATGTCCACAAAACGTGGACATTGAACTATGTAGCCAATGTCCACGATCGTGTCGGTAATATCCACGATTTTTGGTTCGAATCTTCCCTATATCCATGATTTTTTTGGTTCGAATCTTCCCTATGTCCATGATTATCGGTCAAAGAGATTATATAACCTCTTTGTTATCGGTCTGTTAGACAGACAAAGACAAACGATTGATCGAAATAAGGCAAAAGAACAGGCCTATATGCATGCACAATGAATAAACGCTAGTAAACGTATTTTACATGCTTTTTATGATTATTTACTGGCTGACAAGAGCAGTACAGCTTTAACCCACTTTTACAGATAATCTTATTATTTTGTTTTACCTAAATTTTCTTTATGTACAAAAGGGATACCAGAAACTTTAATGTATTATTATTTTGTTTATGACGTCACAGTCCAATGTAGTCGGAGCGATTACTCAGGTTCCTTAAAGAAGAATTAATTTATTGTAGTAATTAGCAATTACTAATTATTGGTAAAGGGAAAATTAATAATTTCTTATTTTACTTATATCGCGTCCTTAATATTCATTTTTATTCACATCGTTCTACGTTATTGATGCATGCGAACAAAGGGTGGAGAGACGTAAATAAAAAATCATAAAATAGAAAAATGTAAAATCAACGTTATTTATTGATACAGTCCACCTTTCGTACATGTACTTAATTTTGTACGTTAACTAGGCTCACACTCATAATGTTGTTCCCAGCTCCGGATAAGAGACTTCTCTTTCAGTTTTTGAACATGGCCAGACACACACACTATACCGCGTCTCCTGATATGAAACTTTACGTTTTTTTTTTTAGCATGGCATCTCAATTATTTAACATAGCATTTATTAATACTTCTAAATGTTGCTCCTCTTCGAAATAAGATTTTATTAAATATTTATAAGTCAATAGTTATCTATGCAATTTAAATTACAAAACGTATATCGCTCTATCATGAAGAGAAAAAACAAATATTTAATAATTTTTATCTTCGTTTTTCTAAAAACACGCTAGTATGTAATCTCTTTTTCTCTCTCTCTCTCTATCTATCTATCTCTTGACATTTGAAATATAAAAACAAATACAAAAATGTTAGGATTTCAACAGAATGCACAGTGTTGACTTTTTTATAAATATAAATTTAAGATAAAAAAATAAATTATTGTGCTCTATAAAATATATCCTTTAAAGTTATTAATTATATTAATTATTAATTCTTTAAAGTGTTTTAATGTTTACCGAAAAATAATTAGTTTCTTTTTAAATATAAAAGCAGTACTTTTAAAAGATTTAATAGGTTT